TTTCAAAAATTAGAGTAACAATAAAATAAAAAGCAGATGCATTAAGATACGGAGCAGTTCTGCTTCATTACATTAAAAACACAAACTAATTAAAACCACTGTGTAACGATGGCACTCTTGCTATCTGTGCCATACTGTAAGCATAATGCCATATGAAGATAATTGGCCAAAGAGATAAAATCCATTGCAAAAACACAGCAAATTCAGAATGATTCCATGCGGCTAGCGCAGGACGTGATATGATCAACAGGAAAGAGATCTGCGTTACGGCCTTGGGAACAGCTCCCTGCATTCTTTTATCTACTTCCTGTAGCATTTCTTCAGCCCCTGTGGTTTGCCCTCATGTACAGATTCATAAACCACTCTCCTTTCAGGAGGAACGTCTGTAAATTAGGTCTTTATTTCGCCTTGTTCAAAAAAAAAAAAATCCGACGTCTAGAACGACGCCAAGCTTGTGTGGAAAACCAGAAGAGGAAAATAATGTTTGGCTTGACAGTTCTTACTTTAAGGAACTTTCTGGTTTTAATCTCAGTCAATAATCAGGTTTCTAGAAAGGGTCTTCGGTGGAACGCGTCCAACGGTGGGAAGGTTTTTAAACGGTCGCCACTTGATGAAGTAGTAACATTAAAAGGGGAAAAAGGAGAATTGGTTTACGTCTCATGCAATTCCTGGCCTCCTAACAAGACGCAGCATTCATACAGCACACTTCTTCTACACAGCAAAAGAGAGACAGAAATATTTCTAAATTAATTTGGATTTGTTTAGTTTATCCTTACAGAAGAAAAAAAAAAAGTTTATTTGGTCAATTGTGCAAACATTCGTACACCGGTTTTCAGGTTTCCTGAACCGTCTTGCACTACAGGAATGCTGTCTTAACTTAAAGGCCTGGACAATGTCCCCTCTGTAGCTGAAGACGGGGAGGTGGGACAGGCCGGAGAGAGGGTGCCTGATTTCTCTCTCGCCATCTACCCCCACCCCGTCTCTGAGTGCTGAGTGTGTGGAAAAGGCTTGGGCTGTTGACAAGGCCGCTCTCCTGAGCACTGTTTGTTTATGTAAAATGAGGCCCTCTCGTACGCAGGACAATTCCTCTGTTTACTTTATATTGTCTTGTAGGTCTTAAAATACCATCGTAGAGGAGAGAGTTTAAAGAGTGGAAGAAAGATGGAGGGGAAGAGAATGCCAGTCAAAAAGGGCAGACGTGTTCCGACAGCGCAGCTATGTGATCGAGGGCTTGCCACTTACTCGCTAGTACGACTATTTCATTAAAATCGCGGGTTAGCTTGACTCAACCCCAACGGAAGTGAACACACAAGTGCGAATAGGGTTGGGTACCGAATTCCGGTACCAATATGGCACCGGTACCTATGTAACCGTTATGTACTAGAACCGAATCAGAACGCAGATTTCGGTGCCATGCCGGAGCGATCGATTGAAATATTAGTCCTCTGGTTCTCCGAAACGGACGTAAGAAGCATTATCACCGGCACCGCACGTGAAAAATAATTTCCCTACTGAGAAAATGCACGTGAACTCAAGTCAGAAAGCTCTAATAATACAAATCCAACA